ATATACTTTGCCTTAGGAACCCTTAGTCATGAAATCTTAACACAACGTTGAAGCATGCCTTGTCATATCAACATCACTCATCACTTATAATCATCATTGCATATCGAACTATGAAGTGCTTAGCCTCCGTGCCTAAGTTACCTAAATACTTTCATTATCGAGTCAACTAGGATAGTCTAAGATGTTACAATCCTTGTACTGTGAGAGACAACATTTGATTAAGCTCATTCAACATGCATTCGAAAACTTTGATTCTTTTTTCGTGTCTTTCTTTTTCAGGAGAAAGTCGGTACCCTCCACAAAAATGACAAAAAGTTTTTGATTTTTGCATTTTCGAGTCACACAATCACAATACAATGCACACACGGGTCATGAGTCACACGTGTCATTTCACTTCGAGTCGATTCAACCTTGAGTCAATCACAGCGAGTCAAGTTCATACCTTGAGTCACGACAAGTCAATGAGTCAAGAAACACTAAGTCTTAGGTCAACCTTAAAGAAAGATAATCAAAGTCCTATGGTCAAAGATATAAATGCAGGTGCATCCCAGCAAGCGAGAACATTCCCGGATTTTTTTCAAAAAAAACCTCGAATATGATACAGGAGATTCCTCCAAGATAAGAGGAGTTACATGGATCAGTAAAATAGAGATGAAGAGATTTAATTTACAAAAGATTTGAACAGATTTGGTTGAAAGGAAACGACCAAGCTCAAAGTTCGAAGCATAACACAGCAATAGCGGCAGCAAGAACAGAATAGGGAAGACCCTACTCCAGCGCCAGACGACAGCATCTAGCGCCTGGAAATAAATTTCAGCGCCTGGCGCTAGATCTCAGCGTTTGGCGACAGAGCTAATTCTTGGCGCCAGCGATATTTCAGCAGCGACAGAGCTCGAAGCCTCTCAGAACGGTTATTTCGACCTCATACAGCAATTTCGGGTTCCTTGGTACGCCAATTAGCCCCTATAAGAAAATTGACATGATTATTAGTCAACTCGATTACAATCGTAGTAAGTGATTGACCTGACAAAAAATCGTCTCACTTACCCTAAGCGCCTAAAACACTGGCTCATTACAAGCACCAACGTATCGGTTTAAAAGCAAGCACTTAAACGACAATATTTCCAAATATGGATTGTCGTGCATTCTTCTTAAACGACAATTTTTCCAAAAATTGGATTGTCATCCCCAACTGACAATATTTCCAAAAATGGATTGTCGTGCATCTTCTTTAACGACAATTTTTCCAAGATTGGATTGTCATCTCTGGCAAAGTTTCCAAGCATGGATTGTCGTGCTCCTTTTTTGTTTGGAAATTTTTTCCAAGTTCGGATTATCATACATTCATAGACTCATTGACAAGTTTTCCGAGATTGGATTGTCATACACCCAGTTCCCTATGGCAAAATTTCCCAAAGAATTGTTGTAGGTCTCTATTCATTATAAATTTTGGAAAAGGTTCCTCAGCGTGGATTGTCATTCATTTCAGTAAGTGGCAAATTTTCCCGAAGTGGATTGTCGGTCGACTCTTTTGCAAATGTTCCAAGACGCGGATTGTCAATTGTGGCAATATTTTCCTAAAAGGATTGTCGCATAGCATTGACAAATTTCCAAGGTGGATTGCTTTCAAGAGTTATATTCCAAGATGTGGATTGTCGATCATAGCAAAATTCTTATGACAGATTGTTACGAAGCATTGGCAACTTTTCCCAAAAATTGGATTTTGACAAATTTTCTGAGATACGGATTGTCGCTTCATCATGGCAACATTTCCAAGGATGGATTGTTACGAAGCATTGACAACTTTCCTTAAATCGGATTGTCATACATCATACAAGAGTTGTGTTGGCAACTATTCCCAAAGAAAAGAGGATTGTCATCACAGCAAAAGCACCGACATACTGGTTCACAAGCAGCAAAGCGCCGACGTAATGGCATAGCAGCATTAAAGATCAACAAGCAGTGATCTTTTCGAAGACTATCACAGCGGAAATTGGAGGCAGTTGCAGGCGTAGCAGTCTTCAGGCGGTATTCTCTAGCTTACGAAAGGTTGTCACAACAAATCGGTTACCTCCAGAGACGTGTGCTCGACAATGCAAGATATGCATTTCTTAACTCTCTTATCTATTTAACTAACGCTAGTTTGCAGGTATCGGCGTTACAATAGTGATTTAGGATCGCGGAACGTTCTGAATCATTCTCCGTCCCTATCGATACTTTGACTTTTGTTTTCGAAACTTGCGTTTCTCCAAACTCAGTCAAAGTGGGGGCTTCTGTAGACACCCATTTATGTCTCCCCAAAACCAAACCCGGTGATGAGTACCTTTCACGTCGAATCATAATCGAATGAAGTGAAAGTGTGGAAAGTCTAGTGTTGCGGATAGTTTTAATTTCTTTTCTCTTCTCTCTGTTTTTGAAAACCTATTTTAAGAAAACAGCCAATAAAATTTGGTTGGTCCATGATATGGGTCCAATAGTAGTGTAGTTGGATAGGTCTTGAAAAGACCTTTCCGACGATATATTATAGGCCCAATTTCGATGAATATTGAGGAAGTTATGGCCAAATTACTGAACTAGGCCTGGTTTGAGTCTTATATGTGGCCCAATGATCTAGAGGAGGGCCTAATATGGATTTATCATGCTTAATGCAATTAGGAATGGTTTTAGTCTTCTAGATTCTTTTAGAAGGTTCTTTTCATTCCTAATTCAATTAGCATTGATAAATTGACTTTTGTTGACTTTTTAGAATTTTAATCAGAATAAAAGAATGTTTTTGAGGAAAATACAATTTTATCCTCCTGTACGAGCAATTTCTATCTGATTTTTAGAAAACACGTCAATAATTGAGTTAGCTCCAAACGCCAGCATTAGCGCCTGACGCTAAGCTTGGCGCCTCGCGCTAGCGTTAGCGCCTGGCGCTAATGTCAGCGTCTGGCGCTAATGTCAGCGTCTGGCGCTAACCTCATTTTACGCGTCAGAACTCTGTTTTGATTTTTTATCTTTTTGGCTGATTTTCTCTATAAATAGCTTTCTAAAAACTCCGTTTTCATGCACCAATTCTCACCAACTCTCATCAAGATTTTCTTGATTACTCTCTCTCTCTTTTCTAAACTAGCCTTTTCTCAAATACAAAATTCCGCATTCGCAGAGACTTAGATACACCTAGCCATATTCGAAGTTGTCTTCGCCCTAGACGTGAAAGGTTTTAATTTCTGAGGGTTTGGTCCCAAATCTCTCTTTCAATTATTTAATTTAATTGTTTTATATTTTCCTTGAAGTTACTAACGCGTGTATTTTGTTATTAGAAAGAGGTACGATTCATCCAAGTAAGTACGTTAATGGTTTTTATTGATGTTATGATATAGAAATCATGCTTAGATTGTTATTTTGATTCCTAGTATCATGTTAAGATATTTTCCTTGATTTGATGTTTAGGGTGACAACAATAAATTCCTAGTATCATGTTTAGGGTAACTTTAATACCAAGTATGATTAAAAGTATGATGTATTTTATGTTCTTCCTAATATTTATGATTATTAGTATCATGTTTAGGGCTAAATATTTTATTTTTATTGCTTAGTGACATGCTAGGGTTTATTATTAATCTTGTTAGTATCATGACTAGGATCTTGCTATTATTATGCTTTAATATGATTATTAATTATAATTATTATTATGATTATTTTATAATTGTTATAATTATTGTTATGATTATTATTATGTTGCTTTACATTTATTGTTATTGCTTGATCACACCTTTTATGCATGTTTAAAGGGAATTGGTACTTGTAATCACGCTTAATAAGATAATTTATTAATCTTGTTTAGGGCTAATTTGATTATAATTCAAGTGATCGCCAATAATAGATTTATTTGTTCATTAAATTCAACCAACATAGATAAATAGGTTTAGGGTAAACCTATTGATTGCATGTTAGTCAAAAAGCGCACATGAATACGATCAGAATAAAGTAGAGGCCTATTATTAGGACAAGTTCAATCTCTTTTAGGTTGGATTTGTACCTTCATCCCCGAACTACCAGTCATGGTTCCAGACCTATTGGAGTTGACGATCTCCAGGATCGTTAAGGGGTGTAACTTTCACCTCGTGAACGGTTTACAAGTTCCTAAAACTTGTTGGCGACTCTTTTGCTCTATCTTCTTTCCCTTTGGACGCCACCGTACTTTAGTGTATGATCACAGTGGGGTTCAAGTTTGGGATAATGCTTGAAATATTCCCTACAGTAGGTTGCATGCCACTTGTCAGATTTTAATAGGTTCATTTAATTTTTGGAAATAATAAAAAAAAAGGCAAAAAAAAAAAAACAAAATTCAAAACAAAAAAAGAAAAAAAAAACAGCCACCAACCCCTACCGTGAAAACTTAACCCGACCCCTTGCCACCACCGAAAATCGGTCAGCTGCTATCCTTGGCAATTGAAAACGGTCGGTCGGCACCAGGGTTGTGCTTTTAGGGTGTTTAAAGGGGTTTTTAAGGCTGAGATGGGGGTTTTCTGTGTAGTTAAGGAGGTTGGGTAGGATTTTTCAGGCTAGGATGGAGTTCGGCGGTGATGGTTATGGAGGTTTCAACGGGAATTTCGGCGTCTAAGTGGGTTTTCTAGGGTTATGGTTGTGGTGCACTACTACAAAATTGGTCAAAGAGACTACTTTAGGAGTGGTCTCTAGCTCACAGGTCTCTTTGGTTTAAGAGACCATTTCATCAAAAGTGGTCTCTTGTTTTAAAAAGAGAGACCACTTATTTAGAATAGATGGTCTCAGTTTATGAAAAATTTGAGACCACCTATTTCAAATAAGTGGTCTCAGTTTATGAAAAACTAAGACCACCTATTTCAAATAAGCGGTCTCAGCTTATGAAAAACTAAGATCACCTATTTCAAATAGGAGGTCTCTTTCTTCTTTTTTCTTTTTTTTTTTTAAAATGATTCGTATTTCAATATAGTACATACTACGTATTATAATTTCATTTAACAAAAATACAATTTCATTTAAACAAAAATACAATTACTCTACTTGTAACGATTACAACAAATACAACTAGTATATACATGTAAAAAATTTATACAAATCCCATACTAAAAAAAAAATACTCTCTAATGTAGATGGTAATATCGAACTTGGTATTAGATCACATCCTTAAAACTGATGTGTTACTGTTCTTTGAGAAAACTTCTTAATTTAAGGAGGCAGTACTTATGGATTTTGATGGGACAACCTTCACTTGGAAACAAATCCGCCTATTAGAAAAAAAAAAATGCACCAACATATATTAGATTATAAGGAAGTAGCAAATTAAAGATAAAAAGAATGACAACCACTGAAACGATGCAAATCTTAACATAAGCAATTGACGACTAAGATCGGAGTTAAAAAGAACGCTGGAATTACATTTGCATTTAAATGGTAGAGAAATAACCCACCTTCACTCCAGCCTCATTGCAAACCTGATACGAAGGAATCTCATTTAAGCTGAAGCAACTTCGGAGATCAAGGAATTGTTATGCTGCCTTTTGAGGATCACAAACCTCTAGGCTGCTACCGTCCGATGCCGACAACAACTAAACAAGGACGGACAGGAAGTTAAGAACACCACCGGGATTTACAAATTGACTTTGGAGCCGTTGAATTAGATTGATTTAGAAGAGAAAGTAAATTGGGGCTTTGAGGTTGGGGTTGGCGATTTGAACGAGGAAAAACATGGCGGGGAAAGGAAATCGGGGATCAAGCTTAAAAGATTAAATCAAAATTTGAGAGACATAGATGAAGGTTGAAGCAATTGTAGGGGGAAAAATGAATGAGGAAGCAAATTTTTTGAGGAAAGGTGAATGCGGCGACAAATAAAAACCCTAACAGATCTAAAATGAGGAAAGAGAAAGGTAAGAGAGATGTTGAAATGAGTGGATGACGGGGGGGGTGGCGGGCTAATGAATTTAGGGTATAAGTTTTTTTAATTATTTTAAAAAAATAGGAGACCATTTATTTAAGAGATGTGGTCTCTCCTTTCATAAATTAATTAAATAAATAAAAAAAGAGATACCATTTATTTAAGAGAAATGGTCTTTCCTTTTTAAAAATGGAATAAATAATTAAAAAAAGAGACCATTTTTCAAGAGAAATGGACTCTCTTTTTTAAAAATTGAATAAATAAGAAAAGAGAAACCATTTATTTCAGACTAGTGGTCTCTCCTTCATTTTTATGTCCCTTAAATTACACCGAAGAGACCATTTATTTAAGATATTAGGTCTCTTGAAACAAAGAGACCACGTATTTAATTAAATGGTCTCTTAATTGAGGCCTCTTTGAGCATTTTTGTAGTAGTGGTGGACAGGTGGCTATGGAGGTTTAATTTGGGGTGGGATTTGGTTTAAGGATTGATTTCGGTGGTGGTTATTGTGGTTTCGAGGCGGGAATTAGTGTAGGGGGTAATGTCAGTGGTGGTTATAGTGGGTATGGAGGTGGGATTTGAGCCAGGGGGTTCTGGCCGGCCGTTTCAAGGGTTTAGGGTGGCGGCCGGCCGATTGTGGCCGTTCACGGTGGTTGCCTGGTTGGGGAGGGTTGTGGGTTTTGGGGTTTTTTTTTTCTTTTTAATTTTTTTATTTTATCACTGGTACCCTCAAAGATCTGACTTTTATCAATGGTGCACCTCATTAAGTTTTCATTATCAGCGGTGCCCCTAAAACTTTTTCCTAATTGCTATAGTGATAATTTGGTTAATAAAACGTTAAGTAAACGTTAATTTGGGGAATTTTGTTAGGAATAAGGTCAACAACTGAGTTTACCATAATGCCCCCCCAGTCATTAACTATGCCTCTAAGCCCAACTTGAAGGAGTTATGTATTCGTCGTGTGCAATTACTAGATATATAAATGGATCAAATTATGGAGATAATTAAGTTCGTACATTTGGGTCGTCGTTTTGCCATAGCTAGAGTTACTAACGATCTTTGGACTAGTAAAATAGCCCAAAGCCCAATTGGACGGATCCTATAAGGTCACACAAAGGGGCTAGATCGAGCATTAGAGGACGAGGCCCGTCATGGGCCTCATCACTCTAGGTGGCCGGCCATATGGGGATTAAAAAGTGGTTTTGGGCTTCGTGCCCTAGTCTAATTATAATGATATTATAAATAGACTAAGTGCCTAGGTTTGCAGCAAGAAAGGAATTAACTAATCAGTGTGATCAAACCCTAATTAGCGAACACAAAACCCAACCCCCTCTCATAGTCCTCTCTCTCACACGACTCTCTCCTCCTCCTAGGCGCCAGTGGTGTGTCGCGGTGGTGGTGGTTCGTGCGGTGGTCGGTTGTCCGTAAAGTTGGTGATCGCGGTTTTCCTCAATCACTCGACCAATCTAGTATTGGTGGACGGCTCGTTCGAATCTCGTGGACTAAGTAGAGGAGCAACGCTTGGGGCTCTATTCTCTACCTGATTTTCCCGTCGAATAGCTTCGTGGAATTCACGCGTCAAAGGTATGATTATGTGTCTTGTGTGTTATGCATGTGATTCTTGGGATTAATACTAGATTGAATATGATTCATATTTTTCCGCTGCGTAGTACCTATAAACTCCTACAGTGGTATCAGTTAGCCTCTTGCATGAACGCGCTAGATCTAGTAATACGATTATTTGATGTCCACGTTAATTTTATAATCAATTAAGAGGGAGAAATTAATTTAATTATGGTTCAATTATTATATTTAATGTGATTAAACTTTTGGAATTGATTAAATGTGATTTAATTATGCTCAAAATAGCCATGAAGAGACCGAATTTTAGCCCTAATTGTTCGAAAATTTCGAACCCCATAACCCTAAATTTCGAATTTTTCGAAAATCCTAGCCCTAAAATATGATTTTTGTGCTTGATTTTGATTTAATTCGATTTATTTTATGATTCATAATTTTAATCGGATTGATTTGTGCATAAAAGTGTTTTGCGTATGATCATCAATTTAATTTTAAAAGTTAGAATTAAATTGGGATTAATTTTATGGAGAACCCTAATTTTAAAGTTGAATGTGATTTAATTTTAATCTTTTGGACTAATTTAATTTAATTTTAATAAGTGTTATTTTAATTAAATTAAAACACAAAAAAAAAATTGTTTTAGGTGGTCGGCAACCGCGGCTGGGTGGCGCAGCCACGGCGGCTGCCGACCAGGTGGCAGTCCGAGAGGGAGGGAGGGAGGGAGGGCAGGCGGTCAAGGGCGGCTGTGGGCAGCACTGTGCAAGTGTTGCACAGCTGCTGCCACGGCTGCCAGAGCAGCTGCCCGCTGCTGCCTTGCGGGAGTGGCTGCTGTTATGGCAGCCAGCCACCGTGGCTAGCTTCGGCTAGCCAACCACGGTGGCCGGCGGTGGTGGCTTGCGGTTTTTCAAAAAAAAAATTCTTATTTTAAAAATTATTTCAAGTTAATTGTGAATTATTTTGGGATAAAATCAGTTTTATTTTGGATAAAATATTTTGAAAATATGATCTTTTATTTAAAAAGATAAAATTGGTTTTATTTGGATAAAATCTTTTATTTTAGGATAGAATCAAATATTCAAGAGTTGTTAGATTTGATATTATCCATATTTAAGTTGTTAAATTGATAATTATCCTAATTAAAGTGGTTAATTTTGGATAAGATTGACTAGGATATTTTGAGCATATTCCAAAAGGATAATAATTTATTTAAATAATGTGATTATCCCATAATTAGATTAGGATATAATTGATTTTAAAATTATTTGATTGGCTAGTAATTATGATAGAATCTCCTAAATTTGTTAGGATAATCATGAAAGATTAAATATGATTTATCTTTCTAGATTAAAATATGATTTGATTCTATCTCATGACCAAATTAAATATATGATATTTAATAAACGGTCATGAATAATATATGATATTATCTAATTATGATTAAAATATGAGATTTTTTAGGAAATGCGTTGACTTTATTATGAACATTCGATGTTGTAATTAAGACAAGCATGTTGAGTGATTTATTATATGGCACTTTTATAATATATGATATTATGTTGCTGTATAATTAAAGACTAGTATGACCCATAGATTCTTAAATACGATCTGCGAATCGTGAAGTATTTTTGTAATCTAAATACGGTCTGCGTACCGTTAAGTATTTTTGTAACTTTTATATAAAGTAAATAGAATAGTTATTTAAATAGTGTTAATCCAAAGAAGCCCATGAAGTGAAGGCCCAAAGGAGCAAGGTGGATGGAGATCCATGATGATTCAAGTGGGAGCTTTTTCATTTCTAGTTTTCTTAGGACTAAGGGGCCATACTATGTCATGATTTATTGCATTAGTAGATTATGCATGTTAGATTTTATTTATGTTGATTGATGATGCGCTAGAGTTCATTAAATAATCACAACATAATAAATCGAGGTCCCAGTAATATTGAGATTGCTTTTCCAATTAAAAACTCGATGAAACCTTTGATATTTATGATGGGTCATGCCAAAGCTGGGTGTCATATTATATCTTAGGGGAGTGGGGGTAAAACAAATTTTACACTTTTAATTGGTTATGCTCAACAAGGTTACCTAAAGAGTTTAGAACCTTGAAGCTAAGGGTAATAATTAAGCATGTGATGATTAATTATTCAACCAAGAGTTACAAGAGTTGTAATCAGTAAAGAGTTTACTCACCTTGAAAATGTAATGGTTGATGGTAGGGCCAAAGTCCGGTCAATTATTGCACAAATAAAGGATCTTGGAATCACTTAAATTCAATTGGGATCAATTAATTATTGAATAAAGTGTTTTAAAGTTACCAAATAAATGCGTTTATGGTACTTTAATTTTAAATTAAACATAATTATTGAACTTTGCCTTATTTTGACATAGATGGGTAGCCGTAACCACAATGACAACAACGTTTACAACCTTCGACCATTCCTTGAGAAGGATAGGTTGACAGGGGAGAACTTTTCCACTTGGGAAAGAATGCTAAGACTTGTTCTGAAATCTGAGGGTAAAGAGGATATTATTGACACCCCATTGCCAGGACCTCTGCCAGAAAATCCAACTGCGGCAGAGATCAAGAAGCACAAGGAAGCTCATGACAGAGTTGTACCTATCACTTGCTTAATGATTGCTACCATGGAACCTAGTCTTCAAAAGCGTTTTGAGGACCAGGATGCCTACTCAATCATGCAAGAACTCAAAGCTTTGTTTAAGAAACAAGCTAGAGTTGAAAGGTACGAGCTCCATCGTGAGATTCTGGATTGGAGGATGGAGAAGGGAGCCACATTTCATGATCATGTTTTCAAAATGATCGGCCTAATTCAAAGTATGGAAAAACTGGGGCACCCATACAGTGATGATTTGGCAACATAAATCATTCTCCATTCACTACCAGAAAGTTTCAACCAGTTTATTATGAATTTTAACATGATTGCCACTGCAAAGACTATGAATCAATTGCATGTAATGCTGGTTAGTGCTGAGAAACAAATCCCTAAGGAACCTAAGAAGGAAGTTCTTATGATTCAAAAGGGAAAGGGGTTCAAGAAGAAGGGGCAAAAGGCTAGTGCTAAGAGCAAGGGCAAGCAAGTTGCCAAGGCTCTTGAAAAGCCTAAGACGACTCCAAAGCCCAAGGCTGCAAGTGAAAGTGAATGCTTTTACTGCAAGAAGAAGGGGCATTGGAAGCGAAATTGCCAGAAATACCATGACTTCCTCAAGAAGAATGAAGCATCAACCTCAGGTATAATGTTATAAACATTTTAACTTTCACTTAGGTATATGATACCAAGTTGCAGTGCTTAACAAAGTGATGTTGCGCATGAATTGCAAACAAGTGAAGCTAGCAAGGAAATGGAGCTTAAAGGTTCACTAGAAGTGTTTGAGTGATTAGAAATAGCTTCAAATTTTGATTAGTTTATCATGATTTTAGAACAATTTCCAGTTTTGATGAGA